AAATAATCTGGGATTAATAGATGTCTGGAGATTAAAATATGGCAATGCCACAGACTACACATTTTACTCAGACAGACACAAATCACTTTTCCAGGATTGATATGTTTTCAGCAGCAAAGCCCTTAGGAACATGGGTCTCACAAATTGAAGATCTATCTAAGACGTTCTCAGATTGCAAACTTCTAGTGTGAAGAATGCGAAAGAAACATTCAGCTTTCGGATAGAGTCTATTTTTTATAATAATTGGAATTGGATTATTTGCATAGATATATATAAAATATCAACATCACAATAAAAAAGGATAGAACCAATAGTATACAGGGAAAGTGGGGGAACATCTGGTTATAGAAAGGTAGGGAAAAAAGAAAAAAAGAAAAAGAGAAAAAAATCAAAAACAAAAATTTGAGAAAAAAATAGTTCTTAGACTTCCATTCTGTGCCTTTGCTTAATATATTTTTATCTTTCTTAGTTTATATTTGTTTTAGTATTATTTCATTTATATCTTGCTCAACATCTTTCTTTCATATAACTTTCAAATGATGACCAGTTTGTCTCTTTTATTGGTTTTCCCGAGCTTTTCTTTTTTTTAAAAAAAAAAGTTAATTTATCCATATCTTTAATCTCTTGTAATTTATTTAACCAATCCTCTACTTCTGGAGTTTTGTCATTTTTCCATATTTTTTTCAAATGATATTCTTGCTGCTGTTGTCATATAAGTGAATAAAATATCTTTGTTTAGGTCTGAAGTAAATTCTGAATCTGTGATATTTAAGAGGTAATATTCTGGGTTTTTTGGGAATGATATTCCCAATATTTTCTGTATCTGTTCATGAATATTTTTCCAGTAGATTTGTGCTTTTTACAAGACCACCACATATGGAAGAAACTTCCCTCTGCTTCCTGACATTTCCAACATTTTTTATCCAAGTTTTTATACATTAAATTCAATTTTTAGGTGTGACATACCATCGGTGGAACATCTTAAGCCAATTTTCTTTCAAGTCCATTGCGTATGTATATTTTAATTTCTTGCTCCAAATTGTTTCCCATTCTCTCAAGTGGATTGGTCTTCTTATATTTTCTGCCCATCTAATCATACAATTTTTATTAGTTCAGTTTCAGTTAACCATTCTAATAATTTATCATAAATTTTTGTTATTAGTTTTTTCTCCGATTGAAGGATTTTGTCTCAGGTTGAAGTTTTCCAGTTGAATCCTACCTTATTATCCTGTTTATAATATTCATTTATTTGCATATAGTGTAACCAAGAGATATTTTTAAAATCTTTTTTTCATATCTTTATAGGATTTTAGAGTTGTAGCGCCTTTATGGTCCACACGTGCATAATGTTTCGCCAAGTGTAGTTAAATCAGTCTATTTTGAGGAGAATTGGTTATACAAAAAGTGAGAGGGCAACTAGAAGACTGTTTTAAGGATAACATGGATAGAGAAATGGAAATGATAGTGTATGAGATGCTGGTAAGGCATACGGCAGGGACCTGTTTATGCAACAAAAAACAGAAGGAAGAAATTTGAGAAAATGAACTTGATTCCAAAGGAAATTAACAGGAAAGAACAAGAACAAATGTTATACACTGCCAGTAATAAACGACGCATAAATCACATTAAGACGCCACAAACACAACTACTAATGCTGATGACAACTAAGTATGAGAAAATAATGTGCTACATAAAACACACATTTTGAATCAGCCTAAGAAAAGAAAAAGAGAAAAAATGCATATTCAACTGCACATGGTTCATTTGTGCAATGTTGCCAATCAGCACAAGGGTTGCATGGCACAACTAATACACAACTAATGCACACGGAGATGCATGCTACACAACCCCAATGAAGGAGCTCAACTTGGTTGAGCAACAAACAGCTTGCCATGGCATGGCAGGCATTTTTCCCCCCACCATACATTGAGAGAGAAGGGGAGTGAAATTGCTACAAAAAGAGGGAAAGAGCTAAGCCACGCTGAAGAAGAGATTCTGGGAGCTGTAGCGGGATATCATTTTCCGAGCTCTCCATCTTGGAAAGAGAGGTCGCCTGCCCCTCCCTGAAATCTAGAGGCTTTGCTCATCTTTCATCTTGATGGCGTTATATTGTTTTTTCCTCCCAAAATCCATTTTCTTTCTTACATCTAAAGCGGCATTCCTGGAAACATTTTCCCAGGCGCCGGCACCGGCACCTTCCTCGGTTATTACAAAGTGCCGCGGCATGAATAATTTAGCTTCCTCTCGGAGATGGATACACCCCGCTTCCCTTGGGAAGGCTGAATTATTGATGGCCAGGAAAAGCCAGAGTGAGCAAGTTCTCTGGCCAAGGCTTTCACACCTTTCTGGGAAGGGGCTGTAAGGAGGCCTTGGCTTCAAGGGTCACCCATCACCTCTGGCCCAAACACAGAGTGCCAATGGGGTCCATTACCTTTAAGTCATTGAGAACTGGGGAGGTTCAAGTGGTCTTAGAAGTTGGATGTTGGTAAGATCACAGATGACCCAAAACTGGAAGGAGTGGGCAACACTTTGGAGGATAGGAAGGCAACTCAAAAGGATAAACTAGAAAGCGAAGTCAAAGGATGTTTCTTCCTTTATTCTGTTAGCCAATCCTTTTGGTATTCAGTGTCACACATTGGGCTTGTACTATGCAGACATCTCCATGTCAAAGGTAGATATTGCACTACTTTCAAAGTTGGCAACAACTTGCACAACCAAACACTCAGTGTCCAACCTCCTTGACCTTGGGCATCTTGCTTGGTGCTCTGTCTTTAAAGGCTACTTTAAAGGACACTAGGGCCACTTATTATGTGAGCTTGTTAGATGTGGTTCCAGTCATATATAGGAAGAGTTTGCTCTAGAGGATCGGCAATGCCTAGAAAAATGGTTTCCTTTAGGTAGGCCTCCATCCTGATTCTTCTACAGAAGTCTGCAATTCATCTACCGATCCAATAACTCAGCCATATCTCAACCACTAGGTCTCCAGTGTGATTCTATGGTCAACTTCCATCTACTGATCATGGATTTTCAAACTCTCGAGGACTATTCCTAGACAATTTCCAGTGAAAGTTGACCAAAGAATGGTTGTAGAGGTTGAAGAGAGACCACAGTGGCGGAGATGTTGGATCACTAGATGCCTTATAGACTTCTGGTCAAATGGGACTGTGAAACAAGATCCAGCTCTTAAGGTATAAAGAGTAGTCATTATTACTTAGCCAAAGTTTTTTCTGGATTTCTATGGGATGGGAAGAGAGGTGGGGAAATATGAAAGAATGGGAATGAAAAACATATCAAGATTGTGATGATGTTTAACTGCAATCATGTAAGAATCATTGCAAGGTGACAAGGATAGCCATGCATAGATAAGCAAAATAACCCAATCTGAAAAGTATTTGGATTATATTCCCATACTGATTTGACATTTACATTTTCTAAAAAATGAAATAGTCATGCACAGTGACCCTTTCTGAGATTATGGTCCAAAATAATAAGGCTGGTGCTAAAATCAACAGAAAACAACATGGCTGCCATTTAATAAAAGAAACAGTATGGGTGCATGTTGAATCAACAGAAAGCAACAGGACTGCCATTTAATAAAAAAAATATGGCTGCCTGTTGACTCAACAGAAAGCAATGTGGCTGCCACTCAATAAAAACAATATGTCTGCCTGTTGAATTAACATAAAGCAATGTGGCTGCCACTTAATAAAAAAACAATACGTCTGCCTGTTGAATAAAAAAAAGCAACATGGCTGGCACTTAATAAAAACAATACGGCTGTCTGTTGAATCAACAAAAAGTAGTATGGCTGCCACTTAACAAAAACAATATGGCTGCCTGTTGAATCAACAGAAAACAATATGGCTGCCATTTAATAAAAAATAATATGGCTGCCTATTGAGTAAACAGAAAGCAATATGGTTGTCACTTAATAAAAACAATATGGCTGCCTGTTGAATCAACAAGAAGCCATGTGGCTGCAAGTTAATAAAAACAATTTGGCTGTCTGTTGAATCAACAAGAAGCAGTATGGCTGCCACTTAATAAAAACAATATGGATGTCTGTTGAATCAACAAGAAGCAATATGGCTGCCACTTAATAAAAACAATATGGCTGCCTGTCCAATCAACAGAAAGCAATATGGCTGCCATTTAATAAAAAACAATATGGCTGCCTGTTGAATCAGTGGAAAGCAATATGGCTGCTACTTAACAAAAACAATATAGCTGCCTGTTGAATCAACAAAAAGCAATATGGCTGCCACTTAATAAAAACAATATGGATGTCTGTTGAATCAACAAAAAGCAATATGGCTGCCACTTAACAAAAACAATATGGCTGCCTGTCCAATCAACAGAAAGCAATATGGCTGCCATTTAATAAAAAACAATATGGCTGCCTGTTGAATCAGTGGAAAGCAATATGGCTGCTACTTAACAAAAACAATATGGCTGCCTGTTGAATCAACAGAAAGCAATATGGCTGCCATTTAATAAAAAACAATATGGCTGCCTGTTGAATCAGCAGAAAGGAATATGGCTGCCACTTAACAAAAACAATATGGCTGCCTGTTGAATCAACAGAAGGCAATATGGCTGCCATTTAGTAAAAAACAATATGGCTGCCTGTTGAGTTAACAAACAGAAAGCAATATGTCTGCCTCTTAACAGAAACATTATAGCTCCCAATAGAGTCAGCAAAAAAAATATGGCTGCCATTTATGTCAACCAAAAACAATAGTCTAAATTATACTGTTAGTTCTTAGTAGTAGTATTGAATCATTTGCCTCATCCATGTTTTGATTCACCATTCAACCCAATACTAATGAGTCTACCCTAGTTGGAACTCGCCAACAAGATACTAGTTGCCAGTCAAGTCATCAGAAGGCGACATGGCTTCCTCCTCAATGACTATAAGGCAATGTGGCCTCTGTTCACCCGAGCAAGAGGGACTGTGTCTCCTTCCATGGCTCCTAACCTCTCCTCACATCTCTCTCCAGCTCCGACCTGCTGGCCAGGAAGCCCTGAAACCTCCTCGGGTGACCATGCTGAACGGGGAGACGAGCACTTCCTCGACCAAGAATGTGGTCCGAAGCTCCAGCATCAGCGGCGAGATGTACAACATTGAGAAGAGTAACGGGGGCAATCCGGACTCGGCAAGCCTGTCGTCCACGAAAAAGCGGCGCTCCAGCTTGGGGGCCAAGATGGTGGCGATCGTGGGTCTGTCGCAGTGGAGCAAGAGCACAATGCAACTCAACCATCCTGGTAAGGAAACCTTTTGGCTTTCTCTTTCTGGGCTGCATCTCTGGGGATTTAGAGCTTGGAAATATTATTTTGGGAGACTCCAACTCCCAGAAACTTCTCTCATCCTCTAGTAATGAGGGATTGTGGGAGCTGTAGTCAAAAAGTTAATTTTCCCAAGCTCTGTATAGAATTGTGATGGTTGTGTGTTATGGATCTGTGGCCCACTCCATCCAGAGGTTGTTGGGTAGATTGCCCTGTGATGTCCTTCTGTGTTGTGCATATCTCTTTGGGAAGGCTATGAAGATTTGAAGGGGAACACAAATAATTGGCAAAAGTCTGTCTCTCTGATGTGAAATCCTAAACTTACCTTGAAAATATTTGGGGGGAGGAGGAGGATGGAACCAGAACATGTCAGAAAGTAAAAACCATTGAGTCCAAAAAAGGCTTAGTCTTTGAGTTTCAGATGGTCGCTCACAAGGATGTATTTGCACTCAACCCAGTCGCTCTGAGATATGAAAATTATAAGCCAGAGGATGCATATGGCCTATATTTTGGCCAGAAGAAAAGAAAAGAAAATTTACTCATTCTAAAATCAATACACACGAGTCGACTCCACATGCAGAGATTTGCACAACAGAATCCCGGAGGAACCACAATCGTATAATAGTTTTCTTATAAGACTCTGGCAGACTAGAGGTCAGGAGCGGCTCAACCCATTATGCAAAGTAAGCATTTGCAGTATAGTTGATTTTGCCCAGGGGTGCTCTTGAGGCGCTCATGGGGGGAAACAGACCTTGACATATGCGAGTTGTAGTTACTGGGATGTATAGTTCATCTAAAATCAAAGAGAATTCTGAACTCCACCAATGATGGAATTGAACCAAATATGGCACACAGAACTCCCACGACAAACAGAAAATATATATCAATGATTACTTCGGGGGGGGGGGGGGCAAAATACTGTTTGCTTACCGTTGAAAATTACCTAGGGCCGCCTCTGCTAGAGGTGCATCTGCACTGTAGGATTAATTCAGTTTGACACCAACATTCCAGCCAGAGTTGCCCTGACTCTTGAATTAGAGCAACCTAGAACACAACCTTGAATGACATTGGCCATTTGTGCTACAGCGTGTTGTCATTGACTCATTCCCAAGATGATGAGACTGGCTGACTGGTGTTGCAATGAAACAGAAATCTCTGCATACAAACCATTTACAATTTGTTTCCCCTCAACTAAAGATGAATGTTTGGTTGGTTTTTTTATGGGAAATAAATCTGCTTAAAACCCTGGAGAGCCACTTGGTGTAGACTAGTAGACGCTACTGAGCTGGAAGGATCAATAGTCTGCCTTGGCAAAAACAGCAACATGAGTCCACAGTGCAATGTGGCAGCTAAAAAATCCAGTGCACTTCTAGGAAGCATCAATAGGAGTCTAGTGTTGGGATTGAGGGAAGTCCTAGACCCATTCTGTTCTGTTTTGAGCAGGCATTACCTGGAATAACCCTGTGTCCAGTACTGACCAAAGCAATTCTGGTTACATCCCATATAGACTACTGCAACGCTCTCTACGTGGGGTTGCTTTTGTGATGTTTCGTGATGTTTTGTATCGATGTTGTTCACCGCTTTGAGTCGCCTGAGGGCTGGGAAAAGCGGTATATAAATAAAGTAAATAAATAAAGTAAATAAATAAATTCAAGAATGAGATGGACAAGATGGAAGGTGTCCAGAGATGGGCCACCAAAATGCTCCAAGATCAGGAAGCTAAGCTCAAAAGGAGTTGCTTAGTGAGCTGAAGATGTTTAGCCTGGAGAATAAAACAATGCGTAGGGACATGTTTAAATGTTTGTAAGGCTCTCACATCAAAAGGGAAACTTGTTTTCTGCCGTTCTAGAGACTAGGATACAATGGAGTCATGGATTCAAACTATTAGAAACAATTATTCCACATAAACATTAGGAAGAGCTTCCTGACAGCAAGAGCTGTTTGGCAGCAGACTATGATGCTACCTGGGAGTCCCAGAGAAATTCTCTGGAGGCTTTTAAGTAGAGGCTGGATGGCCATCTCTTGGGAGTTATTTGATTGTGTCTTCCTGAATGGCAAAAGAGGGTTGGAGAGGATGGCCCTTGGGTGTTCAATCAGTGGAGTCTTTTTCTCTAGCGGTTTCTGGGTGGACTTCCACTGAGAATACTTGATTGTGGATTGTTGTACCGTTTCCGGGCTGTATGGCCATGTTCCAGAAGCATTCTCTCTTGACGTTTTGCCTGCATCTATGCCAGGCATCCTCAGAGTTTGTGAGGTCAGAGAATACCTGCCATAGATACAGGTAAAAATGTCAGGAGAGAATACTCCTGGAACATGGCCATATAGCCCAAAAAACTTAAAACAACTCAGTGATTCCGGCCATGAAAGCGTTCGACAATACATTGCTTGATTGTGTCTTTTTTGTGTAGTAGAAAGGGGTTGGGTTGGATGGCCCTTGTGATCTCTTCCAGCTCTATAATTGTATTATGATGATGGTGATGATGATGGTGACTTTATGATTCCAAGTGCAGGCAGTCTCCAAGTTACAAACATCCACCTCACAAATGACTCCTAGTTAAGAATGGAGCTGACACAACAGGAAATGAGAGAAATCTTCTCTTCCGCAAAACGGAAATTCACTCCTGGAAGATTTATTATGGGGGAAACAGGTCACAACAAAAGCTTTCTCACAATCCTTGTGATGGGAGTCAGAGCTGTTAGACTTGGGGTGATTCCACAAAAAATATAGCGGAGTGCTAGAAGCACAGTTCATAACCAACAGAAGCTTATGTGTAGCTAGCCAGGATAAGTTTCCATTCAAGAGAATGGATCAGGATTGCAGGAGACTTGTGCAGTCAGGGATGAAACCCAACACCTTGTTTCCACAGCATGCCAGTATCCCATTCATTCCCATTCAAAATCCCATTCTCAAAGGTACAGAAAATGAGATGACATCTTCTGAACAGGGGCACAGACAGCAAAGGTAACACCACGGGGGTGTTCATCCTTCCCTATGCTATATATATTCTCTATAATTCTATGATGATGATGATGATGATGATGATGATGATGATGATGATGATGATGATATGCTGTATATATCCAATCCAAACATCAGGATATAATGCTTCTGGAACATTGCCATACAGCCCAGAAAACTCACATCAAATCCAAGATAGGTCCTGTAGGTTTGTTCTTAAGTTGAATTTGTATGTATGTACATTTTTAAAGTGTGAGTCCGGCTCTCTCTCTCTACACACACACACATATATGGTTGCTTGAGGCAAATGTGAATGTTGCAATTGGCTACCTTGCTTAGCCTTGTAGCTTCAAAGCCTGACTGGTTCCTGACTGGGGGATCCTTTGTTGGGAGGTGTTAGCTGACAAGAGTTAGCTCAAGGAGACAAGAGTAATTAAATATGAATAAAAATATTGGGTTGCTGTGAGTTTTCCAGGCTGTATGGCCATGTTCCACAAGCATTCTCTCCTGATGTTTCATTTGCATCTATGGCAGGCATTCTCAGTCTGTTGTAATTTTTTTTTATTTACTTACAGTATTTATATTCCGCCCTTCTCACCCTGCAGGGGACCCAGGGCAGATTGCAATGTACATATACATGGCAAATATTCAGTGCCATAGACACACAGCATATATACACAGACACTCAGAGGCTATTTAACATTCCAGCTTCTGGCCACCAGGGGAGTTGTCGCTTCACCGTCCATTTGTGACACTGATGAAGTACTTCCTCATTCTTTTCATACTTGCTGAAGATTTTTATGGCCTTGTAAATTAGTTAAATTAGCCTCCCCACATAAGTGGTACCTAAATTTCCTACTTGACAGATGCAACTGTCTTTCGGGCTGCAAAGGTTGACAACAAGTTACACAAACTGGTTGGAAGCTCACTCCAACCCGGGCTGGCTTCGAACTCATGACCTTTCGGTCAGTAGTGATCTTAATACAGCTGACTCCAAGCAAGTGGGGTTTATATATCTGTGGAATGTCCACAGTAAGAGGCCAGACCATGAAGCAAGGCCATTAAATGCTAATCAAGATGGCCAGTTACAACATTCACACCTGCCTCAAACAGACAAGAGTTTTTTCTCTCATCTTGGACATTCCACAGATATATAAACCCCACTTGCCTAGTTTTCAACAAACATCACAACCTCTGAGGACGCCTGCCATAGATGCAGGTGAAACATCAGGAATGCTTCTTGAACATGGCCATACAGCCCTGAAAACTCATAGCAACCCAGTGATTCCAGCCATGAAAGCCTTCAACAACATATACAACCTACTACCTTGTTTGTAACTTGGGGACTGCCTGTAGATCCATGTGCTCCCGGGATGCTTGCATAGCTAAATGACTCCCGGCTTGCCTCCTTGGTGCATTTTGCCCTTCCCTTTGTCCGCTTGGCCTTTCTCCTTGAGGATTTCTGTCCTGATCTCTCCAGCAGACGCTATGAGCTTGGCTTCAGCAGTGGCTTACTCTTGGGCATCAGGGTTCAGCCGCTGGGCACTGGTGCCGTACTTGCTAAGCTGGGAAGGGTGAGCACATAATGGACGGCTCACACTGGCTTTGCCACCTGCCCATTCCGCCCCTTTGCTTGCCAGAAGGGTGATCACATTATAATCATTTAATGAGGGGAAATCCCATTGCCTTCTGTTCTTATTTCCTCTCTTTCTCGTTTCTTCCTCTGACATTTTTCTAATGATTAATTTTTTTATTGAGACAGATTCAAACAAATCCTACATAGAAACAGAACAAACAAAACAACAACAAAATATTAAAAATACTTTTTCTCGAATAATACTACTACATCTCGAACATAAAAAATACAGTAGAGTCTCACTTATCCAACCTTTGCTCATCCAACATTCTGTATTATCCAAGACAGTCTGCCTCCCGCCCGGATCCACAACTATTTCAATACATTGCAATGTCTTGGTGCTAAATTTGTAAATGCGGTAACTACTACATAACATTACAATGT